GGAAAACAAACAGTTCAGTTTGTACCTTAAATAAATGTCATGCTGTACTCGGGAAACTTCAAAGGGCAGTCAGATTTCAAAGCATCTCTTAAGAAGAAGCAGACTGAGAAAACCACTAAGTTGGGAAGAAAAACTTTGCATTATTGCTAGCATAATTTCATCTGGCACTCTGGTAGCCTCTGCAACAGGACTGAGCATCATGCATCTTTTATTCAGAGGGTGCATGTCGGTGCTGATTTCTTTCCCAAAATGTTCATGCAACCTATATGTTGTTGCATTCCAGAGTGCAAACATCCCTTGTATGTATAATAGCCATTCTTTATGTTGTATATTGTTTAATTTCAGCGTGCATCTAATAATCCCTGTCCTTCTTGTCACTCAGTGTTCTCTGTAACGCAGAGGAAACCGACCATTTCAGTTCATGGCTGTGGGTTTGTTAATCAGAATTGCTCACACCAAGTGTTTCCTAGTTGTTTTGTTTTGTTTTCTTACCATTCAGGGTAACACATAGCTGATTCTTCCTGCAGCTAAAAGATCCAGGAAGAAAGACCCTGTTTTCACTTCCTTTCAAATAATAGTTACTAAAAGTAAGACTTGTATGCATAAAGCAGTATCTCTGAACATGCAAGCTGCAAGCCACATTCAGGTATTTTCATCTGTCCATTTAAATAAAACAGCCAAAAAAATGTATTCCTTTGGCATCACTGGAGAGAAATGGTCTCACAGGTACCCATTATAGAAGGGCTTGAAAGTGATAGGCCTACATCATACTGAGTCTGAAGAAAGAAGAGATGCCCCCTTCTTACACCTCAGATGAACCCAGGCAAGGTGCTCAGGTAAGAAACAGCACCCTTTCACTGCTCATTTCTTGCCTGTGCTGTTGCTTGATGCAGGTAGCCTGAGCAGTGCAAGGCTCCTGGGTTGGCTGGGCTATGGTTTGACTACACATCAGTTGGTTACAGAGCTTAGCATGGCAGGTAAATTTACCAATTATTTTCTGAAGAAAGAAGGTTGTGCTTGTGCAGGAAGAGGTATAGAAACACACTGGAGAATGTAATCCCATGGCTTTGAAAAGTTCAGTTTTAAGACTCCTGAAATTCCATCCCTCTGAAAGAATACAGTGTTCCACAACAAATAAATGTTCTGTTATTTCTGGGGGAAAGGGAGCGGCTGGTTTCATAATGCTCCTATAGACTTTAAAGTGTCAGGCAGCTTTTCTCTTCTTTACAATATTCCAGATTTGGTTTTCAAGCCAAGGGGTTTGCAAATGCAGATAGCGATGCTCACATCAGAACTGGAGGCTCAAAAGAGATCTCAGTGCTCTGGGGAGAGACAGTGCAGCTGTGACAAGCTCAGCAGCACTGCCTGCGATAGTCGCATACTCCTTCAGCCAAACTTACCATCCCTTTTGTGGATGTTTTTTCCTCTGTTAATTAACTGTCAGTTCTAACTCTACATTATTTTTTCATTTCCACCCTTTTCATCTCGTTCAGCTCAGAACTTGGACCAATGTTCTTGGATCCGGTACCTTTCCTCCAGGAAGTTGCACTGGCCATTTTTCTTTACTTTTTTCACTCTCTTCTTCCTCCTTGCCCTCTCCCAACCCTGCCACACACACACCCCCCCCGGACCTGTACATTTCCACAGTGTTGTCTTTCTGTAGGACCCAGTGTTTCCAAACTTGTGGGCTTTCAGTGTTGCCTGTGATTGCACCATGCTCACTAGATAGCATGAACTTGCGGAACTGTCAGCCCTGGTACATGTATACATTGTGTTTATCACCCTGTGGCATCAATTCCCTCATTCATCTTCTTTGGCAGAACAGCTCCATCTTCTGTTTTATTTTGTGCTCTGGAAGCGCAGGCTAGAGAAGTTATGCATAGAAACAGGTCTCTGCTGTCCCAGCTTCACATCTCTTCAGTCTGCCAGTTTTGAATCTGGTAGGTGAGCACTCTGCTCTGGATTGATGATAATATAGTCTCAAGGCTTGCCTCTCCCATCAAAAGCAGTCCATGGCTCCATAAAGGTAAAACTTTCCAAATTATTTATTTATTTACAGCCAGCAGCATTCACCAGGCTGCCTGCAATATCAGTGTCTTCCTTGCCCCACTCTTGATATATAGGAACACCAGCAGCTGGTTTTCCCCTCAGGTCACTGACTCATCCTTTGCTGTCTGTTATCCTTTAGCTCTCCACAGTTTTCTCCTCCCTGCCTACTAGAGACAGCCCCCTGCATTCTCCAGTCTTTCATTTGTCTTCTGCATCATAGGCTTTACCGTTGCTCCACAGGGCCACCATTTTATGTAATGTCTAAGCTTAACCACAGCTCTATTGGCATCAGGGCCTTTGATATCAAGCTGCCTCTCATAACCAATACTTGCCTTCAGTTCTCCCTCTAGATTTTTGGTGGTGACAGGGGTATAGCTAGGATGCTCTGTTTTCTTTTTCCTATTTTTCTGCCTAGCTAGGTACCATCTTGCAGTTTCCCCTCCTCACCCTGTCATGTTGTGCGTTTCCTCCTCCTCATTCATTTGGGGGATCTGTGTGGTTTTCTGCCTGTCTTGCTCCCCTTTCTCCTGGTGACAGGCTATCACCAGCAGTAGTATTTCTCCTGAGCTGTTCCTGCAGTATCAGCCAGTCCTGGGTGGATTAACGTGTTTCAGTGCAGGGAGGCAGAACAAGAATGAACAGTGAGCCATGGCTCTGCTGCCTCAGGTGCAAGGAACAAATGTCCCTGCCTCCGAGGAGCTCTTGATGCCTGGCATGAGGGGTGTCATTTGTCTTTGACGGTACAATGGGTCTCCTTGCAGTCCAGGCCAATGAGTAGGGTATATTATGAAACGGATGTGTGTGGCCTAACATATGGGTAACTCTAGCTGGCAAAATAACATTAAAATACTTTCCATTTGGAGATGGAATTTATAGTAGCCAGACAAGCTGTGGAACAAACATCTCTTGTGCTTCTGTGTTTGTGTGAGCCTGAAGGCTAACAAACAGGCAGGGAGCTCTGGCCCTCTCAGTCGGGTAGAATAATAGTTTCCACTAACGATGAAGTTTGAACTGGTGGAATTTTCACAACGCCAGAGGAGCACATCACAAAAATAAACCTTCTTTTCCTCGCACCCCTCCCTGTCTGTCCTTTAACCTGCACAAAGCCTGCAAACTGCTGTGGCAGTAATCACAAAACCATCCCCTCTGAGAGCGAAAACTCTGAAAGATGCCCTTGGAATAGGGGCTGGGCTTTTAAAAATGATTGGCATGAGTGTCCACGTGTCTGTTCTTATGGACAGGAGTAGCAGAAGGCTTGGCTGACATGGGGGAAAATAGCACAACTGTTTCCAGTTAGTCCAAAAGGTATACAAAAGTGAAAATGAAGATTGAAGAATCTGTGTGTCCCGTTGATAGCAGCCTTGCTTACACGTCTGAAATCACAATATTGTTTTGGCTGGAAAACATGGGTAGGGATCTGGTTTAGGCAGCTTAGGATTTTCCTGATGTGTTTTCCCATGCCCAGGGGAGGGATTTATGACATCTAATTATACATTTGAAATGATTGCTCTGGGGTAATGACCGACATTATCACTGGCGGCAAATATGTACAACGTAAGCTAAAAACCAGCATGGATATTCAGTCAGAGTGGCTCTGCATTGCTATGATCTATTGTAAGGATCCTGCAACAGTCCCTCACTAGGCTGTTAAATTGAGTCACAGCCCTTTGTGACTCTGTTTAGATCAGTATCATTCAAACTACTGAAAAATATATACCTTTTTCTTAATTTGGTATCTTACTAAAAATTTAAATCCCATTAAATGTCATGAATTTTAGCTGCAAGCTCAGGAGCATCAAAGGCTTGCTGGCTGTCTCCTCTTCATATTCTGACTTGGTGTAAACCATTCCTTTTTGTGCCAACCTTTTTTTTTTTTTTGGATTAATTTGAGATTAACCATCTCAGGCTGTGGCTGCTCCAGCTCTCCTTTAGCTGGAAGGGACAATATGTATCAAATGTCCTAACTAATGTCATTGGTACTTTCTCCTCTCTAATTCTCTCCATTGAAAGGAGAACAAACAGAAAACTGAATCTCTGCTTGCTACTTGTATATTTGTATGACCCATCTCTGGGACGGGGCAGCAGGAGTGAAGCTGACTCAATTTTTACTGAGCAAATGGTAACGACAGCTTCATGTCATACTCCCTAGATGATGCAGGAGCCCAATGTATCAAGTGGTGTCAGCCTTCTCAGATTCTTTCATTATCCCCAGAAATGGCGTTGTATTTCAGGTTTTTTTTTTGTGATATATATCAATATGGAGTATTAAAAGATATTTCAGATCAAGCAATGATAACCCATGTGCAGGAAGCACTCACCAGTTTTGACTCCCATGAAGGCTTTCATTATTATGAGGAAAAAAACATGCAATTTTAATCTATAGCGAGAGATTTTAATGAATTTCATGTGGTAAGTGGCCTGCTAAAAACAAACTTTAAACCTCTGTTTAAAAATGAAACAGTTTAAGAACCTTCCCTTGAATCTTACATTCATTCTCAGACTCGTAGAAGAGGGTAAAGTGAGACTGAAAATAATCTGATGCCAAGAAGGTCAGCACTGAAAATAAGGAACTCATTTCAGTGCCTTGTCTTCTGAGCTATATAGATGTTTCTTTATATTGTCATAATACATATTCTTATAAACAAAACAACTTGCTAACTTTCTTTTGTTTCTTTCCTGTGGGTTTTGGTTGTTGCTTTATGTAGAGTACACTAATGGAAAAAATATGTTCAATAAAAAATGTGATAGATATTTCATATAAAAACCATCTGGACTGCCAAATATGTATCTATCTCCCTCACAGCAAAAGAAAGTTGTTAGTAACTGGGATCCAGACCACAAAGGCAGTAACTCCCAATTAAATCAATGCATCTTAAGTGCCTAAAAAAGAATTTTAGTCTAGCAGCCCTAATCATTATGATTTCTAAATTGATAATAACTCTTTTCAACAGCCATTCAAGAAAAGCACTTTAAGAAGCAAGTTGGCCAAACGATAAAAGAAGACAACGTATCTAACAAGACTGCTGTACAAGAAGGTGGACTTCTACTAGAAGTGAGTGGAAAAACACTGTCTTTTGTGGCTCTAGTTTATTCAGTTTGATGACATATTCAGTTTAATGCTTTGTGGCAACTTTGAACAAATGGTCAGCCTTGGTGTGAGTCATTCAAGAGTCACACGAGTGCTCTCTGGCAGTTGCGATAGTCCTGGTCAGTCCCCATTTGGCAATTGTACCTTGTGCCCTTACACCCTTGAAATTACTCGTGAACTCCAGCAGGCCAGTTTACAGTTCTTTTTCACTTGGGGTGATAGCAGAGGTTTATTTTACTTGACAACGTTTGAGGGCACCAACAGGAGCTTTCCTTGTTTCTGATCTGAGTTGAGATTATTCTGGGATATTTTAATTAATCCTACTTCCTCAACTCTCTTTTCTGAGGGAAGTTGTGTGTGCAGAACTTATTCCTTCTATGCTTTTTTACCCTGGTTTTCTATTAACATTTTTCTTAGGGATTTCCTATTGGCAGAGTACGATAAAGGGGCTATATTTTTGCTGAGAATTGGATCCATTAATCTGGAGGAAGAATAAATACTGCTGTGAACTACTGAACCAGATAGATCACAGCAGTCTATCCCAGATACATCTGCATTTCAAACACATGATGTAATAATGCCTTTTATACGCTAAGGTCCATCAAAATTGCTTTGTGATTAAGACTACATATGTATAGTTGTTTTGGATAGGATAATATTAGTTGTATAAAAATTGTATTGTAATAACAGCTCTGAGATACATATAAATGTAAATGAAATAGTAGCCTTTAGCAAATAAATGCTGTATACTGTTAAAGAAAAAAGGCAATTCAACGTGGGATCCAGTATCACAAGTTGTTCATAAGTCATACAGAAAGGAAACTGGCACCCTGCTTTCCTTCCTTATATTACTTTAGAAGATTTTGATTTTGTATTTCAAAGCAAGTAACACAGTCATCTGATTAGTTAGTGCTAGTACCAAAAAGAGATGTTTGGCTGTCAGGTAACATTTGCAATTATAGAATCATAGAATGATTTGGATTGGAAGAGACCTTAAAGATCATTTTGTTCCAACCCCCCTGCCACAGGCAGGGACACCTTTCGCTAGACCAGGCTGCTCAAAGCCCCATCTAGCCTGGCCTTGAGCACAAGTTATATATGCACCAGCCATAATCAATAAGGATCTTCAAACAGTAGCCTGCTGCTACTGGCTTATGGAAAGAACACTGATACATAATTTCAGGTAGATTGCAAGAGACTAATATTACTGAATGTGGTAATGATCTGCTTACCACAGCGTATATAGGAGTCACATTCCCTTTGAATCCTGGGCTGCATCAAAAGGAGCGTGACCAGCAGGTCGAAGGAGGTGATCCTGCCCCTTTACTCCGTTCTCGTGAGACCTCACCTGGAGTATTGTGTGTAGTTCTGGTGTCCTCAACATAAAAAAGACATGGAACTGTTGGAACAAGTCCAAAGGAGGGCCACGAGGATGATCAGGGGACTGGAGCACCTCCTGTATGAAGACAGGCTGAGGAAGTTGGGGCTGTTCAGCCTGGAGAAGAGAAGGCTGCGTGGAGACCTCATAGCAGCCTTCCAGTATCTGAAGGGGGCCTATAGGGATGCTGGGAAGGGACTCTTCATCAGGGACTGTAGTGATAGGACAAGGGGGAATGGGTTCAAACTTAAACAGGGGAAGTTTAGATTGGATATAAGGAAGAAGTTCTTTACTGTAAGGGTGGTGAGGCACTGAAATGGGCCTGCCCATTGAAGCTGTGAATGCTCTATCCATGGTGGTGTTCAAGGCCAGGTTGGACAGAGCCTTGAGTGGCATGGTTTAGTGTGAGGTGTCCCTGCCCATGGCAGGAGAGTTGGAACTTGATGATCTTAAGGTCCTTTCCAACCCTAACTGTTCTATGATTCTATGAATATATGGGAAATATTTTATCCTGGATTATACTTAATGTGGATCATTAACGGGATGATTAAGAGCATGTTAAAAAAAATATATTCACCAGGCTTCATTTATGGGCATGTCTGACCTAGAATAAGAGGGTGAGTTTTCCTTAGGGCCTGCTGGGAACATTCCCTGGGGCCTGAATTTGGCGCATATGCTCATTCAGTGGCTAAGGCATGTGAAGAAAAGTGCTTTTTTTCTGTTGTTCCACCAAATTCACCATGCTGGTTATCAGGGACTGTGGGGTTTAACTAAACAGTCACATCTGTGATCCCCTTCAAAGAGAAGCAAACAATTTTGCTGGTGGTTGCTATGCTTTACATATTGACTTGTAAATGTGGCCATTTTTCTGGTTCTCAAAAGACATTTTTCTGCTGTCAAAAGGCACTTTCCTTCTTGTGACATTACCTCGCACTGTGCAACATCTCCTAGATGCTTTACATAATACAAACCAGAATAATCTGAATCACCAAAATATGTATGAATAATACTGTCCTTGAACACAATGGAAAACCAGGCATAATTGCTTTTGCCTTTTGCTTCTTTTTTTTGCCTAGTGAGTATGATCACTCTGCTCTATGTATAGGTAGAAATACAGTACAAGAACCCTAATTACTGATAAATAATGTATCTGTGATTCTTGAGTCTTGGAACAATGCAGTACATCCCCTTTCAGCTTGAAAGAAAACAACGGCATTAGGCTGTCTTCAAAGTATGTTTAAAATGTCTTTTATTTCTAAAGGCCTCTGCCACAACATGTGGTTTTTGTTGAAGATTTTATAGAGGTTTTTTACAGCTATAATCAAATAGCTTTCATCAGCATTAACAGAATAAACAACGATACCAGTTTATCAAAGACTTTTTAGTGGAACACAGCAGGTACCTAAGCAAATAATTTCTTTCAGTTTTCTAAGATCACTTCTTCTGGATAAGAGACTCTTTCCTTGCCATCTTTGTTTCCCTTTGGAGGGAAGACAGTTTGATTTTGCTAACGGTCTTTCTCAGTATACCCCATTCTTGCAGTTTTTGTTCTCCTTGGAGACTTCAGACTCTGTTTGACTGCAGTAATGACTTTTAACTTTGTGCTTTAAAGTATTTTCCAAGACAGGTGGCATTGCAAACATTGCGCCACATGTGTTCTGGCAGAAAAGGGCCACATTCAGTTTCTGAAGCTTGTTACTAAATACTTAAGGAACACTGGGCCAAACCCATATCCAGAAAACTGGGAAAATAAATTGTATTGGCAGTCAATAAATCCAGAGAGAATTTACGGGGTGATGGGGTGGAGAAACACAATAAAACGGTGCCTTGGAAAAATAAGAATGAATCACTGGTGGGTATCTAGGCAATAGCCTCGATTGCAATAATCATCTCATGGCTGTTAGCCACGTCTACTCTTACCCCCAGCTATGCTCTCTCATAGTCTCAAGTCCAGACTCAGAGTCTACACTGCTGCGCAGGTAATTCCTCATCCCAAATGCATGTGTAATTTTCATGTGTTATACTATCCTATTGGAAGAATTAAATGTCTGTTTTTGAAAGGAAGACTCTATCTGAACTTGTTTTCTCAATGACACGCCGTCAGGCAGTGGCCCCATCATCACCGCTGACCACTTCTTGTGTAATCATCACCCATATCCTAAGTGGCACCCTGCCAAAATTGTCACTTGGACTTTATTGACCACCTCACAGTTGCTCCTGCAGGTATTTTTGCTCCTTATGGAGGGCAATCAAATTTCTGTCTCAACCCTTGCTTGCCAAGGAGATGTCTTGATGGGCTTCCTTTCCTTCTTTGTTATGTCTATTGGTTTTCTGTTCCACTCTTGTAGGTTGCAGCAGAAGATTTATGGTATCTCTGTCTCTGGACATAATTCTTTTCAGGTGTGAAAATAGTGCTTTAAATCCAAAATGTCACAATATTTAAAAGAAAGCCGGATGATCCGTGCAGCTTCCAAACAGATGCTAATGGAGTGAGACTGCCTGGTTCTCTCATGCCCCATCTCACTGATGAATACCGATAAAGGCCAGACCTGGCCCGATTTGTCATTTTCGTGCTTACCAGCAGCTCACACTCTTTCAGGAAAGGTCTGTGTTTTTTTTCAGGATGTTCCAAGGCACTCTTTTGCCCAGTTCACAGACATATTTCCACATGCATCCTCTACTCTTAAGGCTTCGGGGCAGAAGAATCACATTTCTGTGGTTTTGTCTCATGCTTTTCTTTGTGGGCTGCGCTGATGATGCCAGTCATCATACTTCCTGGTGTTTCTTATTCAGTAACACTGTACATTCTGTTTACTATCTTTATCTATGATCTGGACAAGGACATCGAGTGCACCCTCAGTAAGTTTGCAGATGACAGCAAATTGGGCAGGAGTGTCGATCTGCTTGAGGGTAGGAAGGCTGCACAGAGGCATCTGGACAGGCTTACAACTTGCTTATTTAAACTTTTAGACAAAGACTGTCAGATGCCTGGCATCCTTAAAAAAAAATCCTAAAATCAGACACATATGGTCCTTTATTAAAAAAAAACACCCACAAACCAACAAAACCCCAACCAAAACCAAAAAGCCAAACAAAAACCCCAAAAAACAAACCTCAAACCTTCTTCAAAATCATGTGTGTCTTCAGAAGTGGAGAAAAACACTGAATGCTAGTTTTGGTGGTGCGGCCCTTATAATTCTCCACTTGTATGAATAATCTTAGTTTTATTACATAAACTACTTAATCATCTGAAGTGTTATTTTTCAAACTGAGCTTCCATGTTTTGTAGGCATGCTTTCGTTCTACCACTTAGCAGATGAATTTTGCCAGTTAAGTAACATGACTAGTGAGGTAATTCAGGTATCTAGTTTCTGATCCATCAGTATTTGTGCTTGGAATTGACTGCTGGTGCAAAACAATAGCATAGTAAGGTATAGCCACTTTATCTCACAAAACAAGCACATTTTCACTCATGCTTTACATATTATTTCTTTACATAGTAATATGCTTTACATATTATTTCTTAATTACGTATGGCAGGTTTGGGCACTATTGTGAATAGGAAATTTTGGTTATTGCTTGGTAG